ATCACTCAGAGACTCATTCAAAAAACAGTATTTTTGTCCCCTGTGAAGGGAGCAGCTGGTTGTTTGCTACTTAATGAGCTGATCTGTGTCTAACCTTACAATTGAAATAAAGTCCTCTGTAGTGCAAGCAACTGAATAAAGTTTTATATTCAGGCACTTTTTTTTAGTGTGGGACACACTAATTCTAAACTCACAAACTCATATACAGCAGTAGGAAATGTAATTCCTGTGAGTGTAAGAAACATTGGTAATAGCTAATAAGAAGTTTTATAATTATATAAATATATATATATATTTTTTTTTGCAGTGAGCATTGTAGCCAATGTTTAATGCATGAATGCATAGCCGGAGTTTGTTTTTTTTTTTTTCCAGCGCAAGCTCACATACTCTTACAAATGCTCTCATCATAACCAACAAATTGTAGTCACTATGTAAATATGAGATTCATTATATAGTATAGACAGTTTAAATTATTATAATACAAGTTTTGGCAAACGAGCAGACCTTGTGCTGAACCAAAATAATTGACAACTGCAGTGATTATAAAAGGAGCATTCTTAGATAATATAAATGTGTATAAACTAATCAATGAATATCAGCTGTTTTTATGCTAATAAAAGAAAAATGTTAATGCTAAATATAATGCTAATAACTTAGTGGCGCATCAGTGTAACCTGCAGAAAGAGATACTATATCTCAGCACTCTCGGCCAATCAATCATAGCCCACCAGGTTAGTTCATCACATGCCACTGATTTTCAAGAATGGTGTGACAAACAAAAAATAAACAAAAGCATCCAGTGGTAGCAGCAGCTCTGTGGCAAAAAAAATAAAAAAATATTAATAACACAAGATTAGAGGATAATTCTGACAGGTTCAAGCTGACAGGAAAGCAACAGTAACTGAAACTGACAGTAACAGCCACACACTGCTTTGAATGTCAAATCTTGAAGTGGGTGGCCTACAGCAAATGAAGTCTCATCTGAGCACCCCCAGTGCTTTGTATGTCTAATGTTAAATATTTCTGCTAGTTCAGTTAATCTGAGAAACTGTTAATGAAAAAAAAAAGTCTAGTTGAGGGTGGTCTACACCAAACACATGCATGGCTTGGAGAGATGAGAAAAGTCTGCATCTCAGTTGTGTAAAATCAGACTCATCGATTGGTGTGGAATTACTTTATAAGATTTCAGCTAGACATCGCTCTCTAAGGCAAAACCAAAACTAATTGGATAGTAAATCAAGATGTTTGCGCATTAGTAGCAAGAAATCTTTTATATTTTCCATTGTTTCAGAAATATGCATGTGGTTTTAGCAATGATCTAAATCGGACTAACATCAACAGCATTTTTTAGTCTGGAAATAAAAAAAGCCCCCTAGGTGCTGCTAGCTATAATGAGCATGTCCTAATCAAGAATACATTTTAGAGCCTCTTTCCAACTTGTGAAGGAAATATTATTTAAAATAGCATGAACAGGTACATATGATTAGCCTTTATTTACTATTAAGCACCTTTTTTTAAGGGGACATGGTGGTCAGATGAGGTCCTCTGTGCAATGTTTGTTATCTTGTCCTCAGACTTATTTTGCAGAGTTTCTACAAATTTCTACAAAGTTTATAACCCCTACTTACTGCTTGAAATGAATGCTGACATGACCATACATTATATTGTATCTTTTGAATATGATGCTATTATCTCTTTGTAGCTGACTTTTAGTGAGCTGTATGTAAGTGTCAAAAACCCCAAAGGGCTGAAGAAAGGCTAATAATAGTAGTGAGAACATAAACATTAAGAAAATAAACATGCTATTATACATTTTCTCATGTATTTCTCTGGTAAGCTTTACCCTTGAGTTTACAAACATTGAACTTATGCTTGGAGCTTAAATTTTCTGAGTTTAATAAGTTCATCTCTGTTCTCAACATTTGTGACATAATGTTGTTTATTATTCAACATTAAGTCCCTTCCTTTTAATCTGATTGGCCGAACAGCATTCCAATAGTGTTGATATTTAGTCCAGTAGGACTAGGACTTTTCACTGTTTGTTTGACTCCGCTTTTCTGTGTTTGTATGTTCCAAATATAGTAAGCTGTCAGTGTAGTGGTGGGGATTTTGCAGTTACTATATTACACCAGTAGTTGACGACAAGTGATAAAGTAAGTCTCTATCAGCAAGTCATTGAATCATTTTCTAACCCCTCAAAAACACAGATTCATTCAGAAATTGAACATCACTGCTGTGTGTTGCTTGGAGACATGCAATGGTTGATTCTGCTTTGACTTGGTTTGGAACTATTTTTGATGACAGCGCAAAAATAGAAACTTAGTTTACAGTTGTAAAAAAATTACATATAAAATCAATACAATACATATAATACATATAAAATCACACAAAATTACATATAAAATCAATAGTATTTACCCACAATAAGTATCAAGAATAAGTATTTAAAAGGTAAGTTGACTGATTTTAACCAGCTTTGTATTTCCACAATGTTAGTATATAAGTAAATTAACAATATGTATTACTCTGTGTTACCTGCACCAAGATATCCGTGTTCATTTGTCAGCAAAAGTCGCAAAATGTGTCATTTGGCGGCCTTTTGACAGACTTTTGGGCTTTTGTGAAAACTACATATCATACTTCTGCATTTTTGTACCCCTGCTCACTCATATTCTGAATGAGCCCAGTGGATTATGAGTGTCGAAGTTTGCTTACCTTTTTCGCCACAGCAAAACTTTTTTTTAAAATGTTTCTACTGCATAGATAGCCAACTTTATTAAAAGTGCCTCGTTACTATAGCAGAGCGGAGCAGAAGGTAAGCTGCAGTGTCTGACTCTACTAAACAACACACTCAAGATATGAAAACTACCCTGTAATCCCCTGCTGTGTGTTTCTGCAGTGCAAATATGTTTGGCTCCAGTCTTGTGTGCCGTTTCTTGCATACACAGTGACAAATGCGACAGCCTAAGATTCCGTCAACATACTCAAAAATGAGCAGAGTTACAAAGATCTTTATTAACACAAGCCTTTGCATACGTAAGGGGGAGAAAACAAAGGAAGAATCTATGAGCCTGTCATATTCTGGTGAATATCTGGTGAATTAAAGGATCTTTCAATAATATGTAATAGCAATAGAATATGGCTGTGGTAGTTCTCCAACTTTATGCTGTGTTTCTTGAAATAGCCATTAACCTGGGAGTCATTTATAATTATTGTTTAGAAAGTCATAACATCACTTTGACATTAAGAGTGCTTCTCTTGGGAACCCCCGTATTTATTCCCTGGCAATCATTCTCAAATTGATAATTTATGTTTTTGTCAGGAAATGAATGTATGTAAATATATTCAGATAAACATATAATCAAACTAAGTCACTTGTATTATCAGATTTGTGCTATTTTAGTAAAATGTATTATTTAAAATTTCAAGAGTTGATTTATGTGGATGCTTTGAGGTTTCAATTTAGAGAAAGAAAAAAGGAAGAAAGAAAGAAAGAAAGAAAAAATATATTTGTAAATATCTTACTGTAACTATTTGTAAATATATTTCTGTAAAACATTGACATCTAGTCTTTTGTTGTATCTTTCTAGGAAGTTTCTCCTCATCACTGTAAGAAATTATTATTATTATTTTTACTTTTTAATATTATCTCTAAAACTTTAAAGCTGTTTTGGAACAACAAAACACTTTTTGTGAAAAGTGAATTAAAATAAATAGTTGCCTTTATATATTTAGAAGGGGTCCCTCATTAGGGTGTCATCATAATTTGGTCTTTGGCATCAAAATGTTTGAAAATATCTGAATGAATAAATGTTATTAATAAAACATATTATTATTATTGTTTGCATATGACCATATATCACAATATTTTTTTATAGCACAATGAAAAGTCAGTGCTGAATAATAATAATTATTTTGCTCGAATAATTTAGTGTAGCTGGCTTTGTGTTATCTGTTGAAATCTATGTTGAAACAGCAAAGAGCTAAATTAAGACCAATAATAATGGTACAAATGCAAACATTAATAAACAAACAAACATGGTATTATACATTTTCTCATGTATTTCTCTGGACAGCTTTACCTTGGAGTTTATAAATATAGAACTCACTCATGGAGCTTAAGGAAATATCCCCGGGTTAATTTGCATTTTTTTCTATTCATTTAAATAACAATTGTGACATAATGTCTTTGATTATACAAGTGGCTTTAACGGTGAGCATGAACATACAGACTAATTTCTCTTTGAATTTTTTTAACAGGGATTGTATCATTGATCTCTCTGGCAATCCTTTCGTATGACCGTTACAGTACTTTAACTGTTTACAACAAGAGGACCCCAGACTACAGCAAACCCTTGTTGGCTGTCGGGGGCTCCTGGCTCTACTCACTGTTCTGGACGGTCCCCCCCTTACTGGGCTGGAGTAGCTATGGACTGGAAGGGGCAGGAACCAGTTGTTCGGTTACATGGACGGCTAACACCCCGCAGTCACATTCCTATATCATCTGTCTGTTCATTTTCTGTTTGGGAATCCCCGTGCTGGTCATGGTGTATTGTTACGGACGGCTCCTCTGCGCTGTCAAACAGGTAAATTCAGTCACAACATCTCAATTCAGTGTAAATGTTATTCACTATAGAAATAACCTACCATCTGGTTTAGAGAAACCACGGACTCATCAGGCTCAGGAATATAATTTATTGATATTTTTAAAGATGGCCTAAAATCACAGCAATTTTGCATATGTGTGAAGTGTATGTTGTGGAACAAATAAATTGCATTCCAAATATAATGCACAGCTTTAAACAAATTTCATAAAGGGTGCTTTTTTAGAAGCTAAAAACAGAGTTTGAATATTTGAGTTCTCAGAAACTTCTAAAAGAGGCTATTTTTCATGAGGTCCCATCAAGAACATCATCCTTTTTTTGTGACCTATTCCGAAAAAGTGCATAATAGCGCTGACTTATCTTATTTTTCAGCATAGTAGAGAATGTGGATTCCAGATTTCACCGGCGTTTTGAGGTGGTTTAAACTTTATCTGGAGTCTGAGATATTGACCTAGTTTCAGCTTGAGTCAGAGAGTTATTGTTTAGTTCTAGAGAGGATTGCAAACTGCACTGCAGGCAGCGGTTTTGTGTTGTGAAATCTGTCCCTGTTGTGTTGAAATTGTACACACATAATCAGAAATGCTTTCATGAGGGATTTGCGTATACTGAAGACCAGGTCTGAATCATCTGCTGGTGCAAAAAAAAAAAAAATACAATTCAATGTACATGTTTTTCCTCAGGTAGGGCGTATCAGGAAGACAGCAGCACGACGGAGAGAGTACCACATTTTATTTATGGTCATCACTACAGTGGTGTGCTACCTTTTGTGCTGGATGCCTTATGGGGTTGTTGCAATGATGGCCACGTTTGGACGTCCGGGGATCATCACACCCATTGCGAGCGTGGTGCCGTCCCTCCTTGCCAAAAGCAGCACAGTCATCAACCCTGTTATTTACATCCTTATGAACAATCAGGTTTGACTATTCCAACTTTTTAATTAGCATTAATTCATGGGATTTGATTTCTTATCATATACACCATGGTTCCATAAAAATTAACATTCCTTCCACAAATCTTAATCCAACATCCACAATGATGAAACAAATTACCAGCTTATAGAAGGAACGATGCCGAGTACAAAATTGATTGTAGGAAATGATAGATAACACTAAACTCCTTTCAAAATGTGAGTTCTTTAAACAATAACAGCAGGTTAAGTATTTGTACAGTTTTCTGTCAAAATATATTACAGGTTTTTGAAATGCATCAAACTTTTTACTAAAATGCAAGAAGTAAATAAAAAGGTTAATAGAAATAATATGCACAACAGTCAGTGTTAAACTTTTCTGAGCAAGACACTCTTCTCAGAGAGGTTTGTCAGTAGTAGTTCACATTCAAAACAGATTTATATTATGAAATGAATTATTCATAAAACACCTTTAAAAATGACACTGATCAATTATCTAGAGTTAAAATCTAACACTTATAGTACATTATAGTACATTAACAGCTTTGAAGTGTCATTCAACCAATGACAACGGCAAGAGATTTAATCACAAATTACCACAAAATATTATGAGAACAGCTCAGATAGACAGAAAAGAGAAATCTCTTTCCATTTCGACTCATTTCATACTGTAGATTACCACATTTAAACATTCAAATTGAGAATTTATTTTGAAACTCTCGTTTTGTCCTGCATCACAACCATGTTTTGTGTACACAGCATATGTAATCTCTAAATGTAGGTCATTTTAAGGTCATTAGGTCATTTTTGACTGTGTTGCGAGTGTTAGTTGCAATGTCTTTCAGCATAAGGACCATCTGAGATGATCAGACTTTTGAAATTGGTTAATTACCCTCCTCATTATAATGTCTTGTCTCAGTTTGTTACAAGAACTATGGGTAAAACCCCTATTAGATGATAAAAGTCTGTTAGTTTAAGTTTGAAGGGCTCGTACAGTCTTGAAGACCCGTACACCTTTTTATGCGACTGTACGTTTGAGTCTGTAAATCACAGTGGACACTTGATCGTACTGAATCCTGGCAGTGTGACCTTTCCCTTTTTCTTGAGGTCCTTCTCAGAAGCTGTACTCATTCGCTTGACAAGCAGTTTCTCGTAAAGCAGAGGGTGGTATGCCCCAAATGTGCAGGCCGCGTCGTAATATGTCTCATGGTAATGGCACAGATTAGTTTGTCTCATGGAAGGAATGTACTCGTACACATGGACCTCCTCACAAAAGTTCATCATCACGACTATACCTGTTAAATACACACACAGATATAGTCAATATACAGATATAGGCAATATACAGTATATCTGTCAATATATATAATTAATAATGACTGTACTGAGTAGCCCACATGAGTCCATACAGATGTGAAGATTATCAGTGAATAACAATTTACATTTCAGTTTGCTTCTCACACAATCTATTGTACTGTACAATACCAGTCAAAAGTTTGGAATAATTATAATATTGTTTTTGAAAGAAAACTCTTATACTCACCAAGGCTACATTTATTTGATCAACAATACAATAAAAACAATAAAAATGTGAAATTTTAATACAATTTTAAATAACTGTTTTCTATTTGAATATATTTTAAAATCGAATTTATTCCAGTGCTAGCAAAGCTGAATTTTCAGCAGCCATTACTTCAGTCTCCAGTGTCACATAAGCAATGTAATTTGCTGATTTGGTGCTCAATTATTATCCGTTATCATTGGTGCTCAATTATTAATAGTGACCCTTATTATTGTCAATGTTGAAAACAGTTTTTGCTGCTTAAGTTATTTTAAACTGCACAATATTATTGTTTTATTGTATTTTTACTCAAATAAATGCAGCCTTGGTATGCCTAATAGAAATAAAAAAATATTAATGATTCAAAACTTTTATCTGGTAGTGTATACATACATACATCATATATACATTTGTAAGACATGAAAGTTTCAAACCCCATTCATTGTAAGTGTCAATCACTGGGGTTTGGAGCTTTTACGTCTTACTGGTTCATTTTTTCCCTTTTTTCACTAAAAAGGGAAAAAAATGAACCAGTACATTCACAGAAGAAAGTAAGTCTTACAGATTTGGAATGACATGATGGTGAGTAAATGAAACAATCTCCTCAAAGATCTTGTTTAAATCTGATAAGACATTAGTACACTGCACACATTCTGTCAGCTGTGTGTACTGTGCTCTATTGTTGGCCACCTCTCTGAAGCCTTTTATTTTAGTTTTACATCAATACTCTGTTATCTGCCTGCAGGCTGGCAACACACACACAGCCTAACAGCACCCTGCCAAGATCAGACAGAGAGTTGTCTCACTGTATACATGCACACACACAGGGGACACACGCATCAAATACTTGGCAGTATAGTCACACGCCAATGTGAAGGCCAATCAGGGGCCTGGATAGGCCGAGACAAAGCCAATCAGACATCGAGTCTCATGAGAAGAACAATAAGGCATCCACCCCTTAGGATAGCCAATCACATAAGACAGATTGTTTGTTCAGTGTCCACATCTATAGGTTGTCAAGGCAACAAAGTGATCCAAGTGTACTGACTAACACCAACCCAGCAGCTATCATTTGAGAACCAGCAGGGTGTGTGTCTCATGTTGTTCACTGTAGTTCGGGGCATGTCACAGGGACTTTTGTGTGAACTGGTTTGAATTTAATTGCCATCCTTTAGGCATACTACATAAGCTGTGAAAAGATGATCACATGACACACACTAAGGTTTGAATGTAAACAGCTATTTCTGCACCTTGCTTCTTGACAAGTGACATAACATCGGACATCTCATCAGAATGAAGAAACAAGTCCATAAAACATTCCAGTTGATAATTACTGGGTCAATGACGTGACTCTTATTTTTGTCTTATATATTAATTAATCAAAAATACATTAAAAATGCAATTTATAAATATAATTACTTTAATGTATCTCTTCAAAGATGGGCATGTTTCTCATTTCTGATTTAAAATTAATTTTTAAATGGTTGAAAAGAAGACTTTGGCTTCAATCAGTTTGGCTTAACATATTATTTATGTTGCTACAACCAACACACAGAAAATAAAACATAATAAAAAAGGAAATGATATCAAGACTGCTGCTCAAGGTTAATAAGTCAGATCATTTGACCTTTCATGACATAAGGTTAGTTTAGGTTGAAAAATGAGGAGTCAGGTGGTGTGACTCCAAACATCTAATTAATAATTGATACTGTATATATGAATCAATAATCCATGATATGAATTAATGAATTAATAATCCATGTAAAACTATATTTAAAGGACTTTTTGAAAATAAGATTTAATTGTACACTGACATGTATTTCTTGTAAAGTGTAAAGAAAATATATATATTTTTACTTGATGACTACATCACATTTAAGAGTCATTGAAGTAAAATGTTTCTTTTTAAAATGCTACAATTTTTTTTCAAAACCATGTGAAATCAACATGAATATGAAGAGTACATTGCTAAAAACCTGGCACAAGTGTTTTTAACTAGATTTTAAAAATATTTTTTACATGTCATTGAGATACTCCCACTTCAATTGGCCATAAAAAAAAGAAAAAATAATAACTCCAAAAGAAGAATACATAATGCACTGAGGTGCTGCAGTTCAATATATATATATATATTGCCTATAGTAAGCTATAGGCAATCTGTCACACAAAATTGAAATGTCATACAAAATTGAATTGGCTCTGCATCTTTTGTCTCAGAAAATATGAGTGCTAATTTATTGTGTTTTGTGCAGTTTTACAGGTGTTTCCTCATCCTGTTTCATTGCAAACACAGCTCTCTAGAGAATGGACAGGCATCTATGCCTTCAAGAACTACTGGTATCCAGCTCAACCGAAGGGCTTATAGCAACACAGTGGCTGGCAACGCACCTCCATCCATTGGTCTCCAAAATGAGTGCAGCACCCCTGTCTCAGGCTGAACCAATCCACAAAATAAAAATTTCACCTTGATGTTCCAGCTCAGCCCTGCCCCATTCTAATACATACTGTTCCAAATGATGCCAAGACAGAAATCATCTGTGTAGTGTTGTGGAGTGCCTACAAATCAAAAGCTAAAAATCAGAACTGTAGCAAAGAGATCTCTATAGTCATCTTTGTGATGACAAACTGTTGTCTGACCTAACACACACCATTTCAGTTAGTATTTGTATGTGACTTGTCAAAATAAATGTTACCAACCCATTTAAGGTTAGGCCTGAATAAGATGTTGAATAAATCTGTGAATTTACAGGAAGCTGGAAAACTGGTAAAATCCTCAATGCTTTGTATTATTTTTCTACCCTGCTCCTAATCTCACCATTATTTTCTGGAGATCAAGCATGGTGACATTTGGATCATTAGTCACATCATTGATTCAAAGGTGTCCAGTGATCTAAGACAGTATTTCCAAACTTGGTCATTTTAAAGGAAGAGTTTACCCAAAAATTTAAATTCTGTCATTTACTCACCCTCATCCTTAATAATTTAACTAATTTAAGTGTCGTATCCAGTTGGGTGAATTCAGTCCAGTGGCAAAACAACAAGCGCTACTCTACACTGCTCAAAACTCGCGTTTGAATCGTCAGTGGCGGATTCGACGAAGGAGCAGACGGCGGGCTTGCGGCAACCACATGTGACGACCCCGGGCTGGGCTTTGTCCACGGTGAAAGCTGATCCGGCGATCCACAGTGCGAAGTTGATCGTGTTAGAACGAGCCGTTATAGGTAGGAGTGGTTGACTCTTAACTTTTATAAAGAATATCTCTTTGGATTTGAGACTTTAGTCTTTGCAACTTTACAGATCTTCTTTATGCACCAAGAGCTTGTAACACTTCAAAGAGAAAGGAAAAATTTAAATCGCATCATATGACCCCTTTAAACAGTTGTATAGTAAAATCATAGCAGACATAATTGCTTTCCTGTGCACCATCCAGAATGTCACACTCCAGTCCAGTAGGTGGCGATGTACTGTCACTGTATTGAAGTCACCCAAACAAATATTTATTGGAGGCTGCTCAATCAGAAGGCTACATCCTAGTAAAGCTGCATATCTTGGCTGCCACATCTTCAAGCGCCTTTGAAGGTCATCTCAATTTGAAGGATCCTTGGAAGGCAGCTTTCGTTTCATAACCATCATGCAGTATGTTTCGAAGGATGCATCTAGTATACCTTGTGTCCTCACATCAACCATAACATGATATAAAGATTTCATAAAAGAATATAAAGATTTTTATTATAAATCTTTTTACCAAAATTACTTTATACTATTATTTTTGTTTTGTGACTTTGGGTTCGGAAACTTTAATGAGACTTACTAAACAGTGTCATTCTAGCATTTAACACTGAGGAGGAATTTAGCATAGAAGCCTTTAGATGGACTGAACTAGGAAGGATGTAGCCTTTGAATAGATCAGAGCAGGGTGACATATTTTTGTAGGCCACACTCTGGAAACAAGTTGAAGGTGTTCAGAAACTGAAGGTGTTCAATGCTCTATGGTGGTGACATTGAAATCTTCTGCCAATTGGATTTAAGCTTCAAAATTCATAAAAGCTGTGTTTATTTTTTAAGATTATCATAATGAACAAAACATGTAAAAAAACAAACTTTGGTTGAGCTTAGTTTTTGTAATAATTCAAAAGCAAATGGACAGATCCTACTGGGATTTTGTTGAAGCAACCAAAAAAAAAAAAATGTTGGCCCACAAAAATACATCGTCACTGCAGCACTCTTTTGTGAAGCACCCTATCTCATTTTGTTAAAGTAAGTCATATGGTTTTGGAACAACATTAGGGTGGAGTAAATGAAAACAGTGTGGTTTAACTATTTCTTTACGTCAAAGCCATAATGGTGTGTTGAAGGTACAATCCACAATCACTCACTCAAAACACTGATTTTTGTAAAAGATTAACATTTCTACATTGGAGGTTGTTGTAGTGCTCTCTTAGTAGCAGATATTGGATTGTGCCTTGATAGCACATAATGATGTTTGATAGGTTTTATGAATGTTCATTGTCTGTTTGAGAGCCATCAACTTGTATTAACAGCTCTGATTCACACAGACCTTGATTATATGTCAATCACACAAGAAAATAAACCAACTACCCAAAATTATACTCTATATATATTGGCATAAGTCCTCAACCTTTATTCATTTGCTTGTTTGTCTCTTTTAGATCTTGAGTTTTAAGCCAAACCTTCATTCATTCATCAAAATTCAGCAAAGAACTCACAAGGGAGACAACAAGAAAGAGTGTGTATGTGTGTGTTTGCACACACATTTATTGGCTCTATGCTGCCCTGGGCACTCAGGCAGCCAGTTAGCCATTGGCCTGCGGCAAGGTAAGTATCCTCTAGAAATGTAATGGAGAGTTTGCTTTTTTCCACATGAAGTCCCTGCCTGATTGAAATAATCCTGTCATGAATTTGCATCTATCAAATTGATATTACCTAGTAACACATTTCAGCATTTGCACACACACACACACACACACACATCCTGCACTCTTCAGTCAAAAATTTATTCAAGAGGAACAGTGAATACAAACAGACATGATTATCATTTGTAATTCAGCAGATACGCTGGAAAAGTAGGCAGAGAGACATTTGATCTCGCTTAAATTAGGGTCGAATATGTACGTCAACTGCACAGCATGGCAAATCTCTCAGAAATTACCTTCACAACATGTGGAACAACAATTTTCCTGAGCGCAAGGATCAAAAAATGGATAGATATATGTGCTTGTGTTAATGATGAAGAGTATTTATACCTATAAATCCTGAGGAAGGAGGGTTGGGTTGAATGTTCTCCAGTGTGTTGCTTTGCACAATATCCCAGAGTTTCCAGATAAATGAAGGATGCAGGATATAAAAGGGCTGCTCAGGGAAATTGTTCCTGTGATTTATGTATGGAGTAAACAGGTCATAATCCGGATGCTGGTACCACTGTGGGTATTGAGAAAACAGGAAATATTATGTTAACTATAAAGTCACTTTAGGCACTTAGGCCTGGTTTCAAAGAGAGGGCATAAATTAAGCCTTAGTTTAATTAGGACATTTAAGTATATATATATATATATATATATACTGTATGTGTTTTACAAAATAAATAAATAAATAAAACCATTACCGGTGTACATCTTGATACAAATCAAATGCAAAGATATGTCAGGGCAAGTTGCTTGCAGTTAAGATAGCTAAAACATGCATTTGAGTCTTGGACTAGGCTTATGCTTTGTTTCATGTTTTATTAAAGGGTCAGTGAGATACTGCTAAATTTGTATTGATTTATTTATATATTTAAAAATTCATTCAAAGTTCATTCAAAAATTCAAAGTCATTAATGTAATGACTTGAATACACCTCTTCTAAAAAATAAATCATTGTCGTGCTGGAAGATCCATCCATGGCCCATTTCTAGCAGGGACAGTCAGGTTTTGATTTTTTATCTGTTGTTATCTGATAGAATCCATCATGCCATCTATCAGAACAAGACGTCCAGGACCTTCAGCAGAAAAATAGGCCCACAACATTAAATATACAGCAGTATATTTAACTGTGGACATGGGATACTTTTTTTATCCCTTTGTGCACCAAGCCCATCTTGAGTGTTTGCTGCTAAATGTTCTATATGCATATATGTGCCACATATATTCACATATATTCTATAGGCATATACTGTATGTGCCATATATGTGTGTATTTTGGAAAATATGTGTTACATATTTGAAAACGGACATTTTTGTTTTATTTTGAAATATATGTTGCATGTATGTGCAAGTATCTGACATATATTTTTATATCTGTGAAATCCATACATGGACATATATAATAAATATGTATTTTATATATATTGCCATATATATATATATATATATATATATATATATATATTTCTGTATGTGTTATGCCACTGATAAAGCTTTTATATGTAGTTTGGGGTAACAAAGGGGTTTTATAGGTTTGACTGAAATAATAATGCAATAACTGACACTTTAAATCAATGTTTCAAGAAACAACAACAAAAAAATTTAACAAAAAACAGATAAAGACAAAAAAGTAGCCATTGATAATATCTAAACAATATGTAGTAGTATAGTATATAGTATCCAAATCAAAATGTAATAAAATTAATTTATGTGTGATTCATGTGTAAATTATGTGCAATGTCTTAGCCACTAGGGATTGTTACATAGGGCTATACAGGCATCTAGTGGCAACACAATGGTATTACAGATACTAAATTGTGCAAAATGTTTATCTTATAGGGATTTCGCCTAGGGCGTCAAATTGGCTAGAAACGGCCCTGCCAGTAGTGTCTGGCAGCTCAATATGCTGGAGTTTGTTTTCGGATTAGAGCGGAGGATTTTTTTTTTCTTGAAACCCTCCCAAACAACTTGTGGTTATGTAGGTGCTATTTTATTTTTAAATTTTATTATTTTTTTATTTTTTTGACCCCCGAGACTATTTTCTGCAATTCTCCAGCTGTGATCTTTGGAGAGTCTTTGGCCACTCAAACTATCCTCCTCACCTTGTTTTAAGACAATTTAGACAAACGTCCCCATCCAGGCAAATTCGTAACATTTCCTGTTGATTGTAACTTCTTAATTATTGCCCTGATGGTGGAAATGGACATGTTCAATGCTTTAGCTATTTTTCCTACTGCACCTTTCTAATTTGTGAAGCTCAAAAGTCTATTGCTGCACATTAGAACAATATTCTTTGGTTTTACTCATTTTAAAGGAATTTGGTCCTTTGTGTTCCCTCATATTTATATTCCTGTGAAACAGGAAGTCACCCTGGTGTAATTATATATTATATATTATTATATTAATAATAAAATCATTTTAAAATAATACTTTTAAGTTTATTTTTTCTTTGTGTACATTTATTATTTTTGTCACTAGCCCAAAACTGTATATACTGTAGGTGTATATTCATACAGGTCTGCAGGTCAGGAGACTTTTAATATGACAGGTAGTCTGTTTCTAGCATTACAGACACATGGAGAGAAGGAGTGAAGAAGAGTGCAGTGTGTGAGCCCAGAAGTTAGTGCCGTGTCGTGACCAGGGAGCCAGTTCCATAAAGATTATTTCAGTGGAGGGTTATCAAGGCACAAGACGGTTAAAGGATGGCAGAGTGTTTTTGTGAAATGTGACTCACTTTTTACAGCTGTTATGGAGTTTTTT